ACGATAGATATTTATTATATATGTGTGTGTGTGTGTGTGTGTATGTGTGTGTGTGTGTGTGTGGTGTTATATCTATATATATATATATATATATGTATGTATACATATATATATATATATATATATCACTACTTGGGACGGTCTTGTAGTCTATTTTGGAGCTGAACTGACGTGCTTGTCACTTACATATACCGTTTCGAGTGCCCACATTCTCAATAAGGAATAAAGCTGGCACCCGCAGAGCCACTTAAAAAAAAGCACAACACAGTTTGAAATACGTTTTACTTGATGATATCTAATATGTGTCTATGTACATCCATGACACATCCTTGTATGTGTGCATGTGCAAACGTACACCCCACCCCACTCAACCAATTGGTGATGCTCAACAACCCCACTCTCAGACTATTCCAGTGCTTCGTACGCTGGTTCGGTTTCAAGTCCGACAGTTTCCGCAAAGGTCTTGCTGACACTCTCATCATACTCACACTGGAAAAACGCTACACCTTTCAACGCCGCCTTCTGTGACTGCATAAACTCCCGGCTGGAAAACGAGGACAATCCCGGGATCATATCAGCTGTGTAGGTTGCCATGGGAACGGGCTCCGCCTGCTCGTACAGGGCAAAGACGTACCTACACGCCCCAAAGCCGTACGGTGGGGTGGGAGGTACGTATTTGCACACCTCAACACCCTGGGTAATGTCAGACTCGCCTATATTCGCAACCATCCAATGCAATGCCTCCTTCTCATCGTCGTACACATTCGCATCTGGACTGCTCAGTACTAGTGTGTACAGCTTGTCTGGCTTGCCCTCAAACGCTACCTTTGGAGCGGTCTGCATGTGTGCAGGCTTCAGAAAGTTGCCGTAATACACGTTGTTGTCCGTATTGAACACAATGGGCGCGGGTATAGACGGCTTGACCTTGGCCGCCTTCTGATCCTTCTCACTGGCCTTAGCTTCCTTCTGTTGCTTCTTCTTCTTCTTCTTCTGGGCTTTCTTATCGTCTTCGATTGGTTCTTGTACCACTTTCGTATCGAGTGTCTCAGCAACCGACGCCTCGGCACTCGCAGTAACCTTTGCGGCGTCTCCAGTGGGACCGTACGATATGCGCAAAAGTCGTCTGAGCCTTTTGAGGTGTACTTCATCAAACATGTGATCAAAAAGCCCAGCATGCTTCACCACCACACGTAATGGCGTGCCACTGATAAAGCCGTCGTAGTTAGCGTATACCTCCTCCTCCGTCATACCTGCTACATCGGGCAGATGCACCCGTTCCAGGCCCAGGCGTGCATTGCGCTCGAGTGATGGGTCTGCTTCGCGTCGTGCCAAAAGGTCGAACCAGTCTTTCTTCCTGGCTGCCGCTTGCAGGAGATGTCTCGGTTGCAATAACTTATCTTGTTCTTCGTACAGTGGGTGTGTTTCTGGTGCCGATGCATCTGCCACATCTGTGTTTGTAGATGAGAAGCGGTGAGGGATTGCGTGTATCGACGGTGTGCCACACACACGAGAGGAGGCGTCACGCACAATGCGCAGACCTCCTCGAGCCCTCATATGGTTCAGACGCAACATGCTACAACCTACCCCTTGTGTGTACTACTTCCTTATACGTGCCTGTATTTATCCACACTCGTATTTGTATTTACGTGTCAATATATTTTATTCAGGCTCGTGTTTGTGTGTGTGCAGTCACTGCAGTGTCAGTGTGAGCATTTGTTGAGTTTTCGCATGGGCCTGCGGTACAGTAGCGGTTGCAAAATAAAATAAAGTGTTTTCAGTCCTTAGGGTTTCGCAAGCGTAGGGTTTTGCACAGCAGGTGACTTCACTTGACACCCGACAAGGTCATGGCGAGAGCGAAAGTTGCTGTGCTGTATATAGATGCAGGTTAAGTCATAAGCCTGAAGTAAATATAAAGGTGTGTCTATGCGATCACTATACATCACACCATTGTATGCATTGGTCGATACAGCAAGGATAATTGTACACTGATAAGATAGTATTAAAAATACGGGGCACATTCAGCACAACTACAGACCATGTCATCGTCTGAATTAGTCAACCCTCTGATAGTGCGTGCACTCACTGTGCAAGAGTTCACAGCAGCACGCAGCGCCGAGATACACTCCCTCGTCAACGCCAGCAAGGCTCAGTATGTATTGTTATCATGAGAACACCACTGCGTTTACATACTCTAGAAATATATGTACGCTATATATATATATATATGTGTGTGTGTGTGTGTGTGTGTGTGTGTGTGTGTGTGTGTGTGTGTGTG